GATTTTAACAATGCGTTCTTCAATGTAATTAAGGTTCGGCTCATGTGAAGTTCGACGTTTGACCTTAGTCTTAGGTAGTGACATAAGCGTTTAATTTGTCTTATTTACACGATTACATTTTAAAATTTGTCCTATCAAATATTTAAGAATATTCGAATTAATTAGGTCACATGGGCTATAGTCTTCTCAGCAGCCGTACTAATGTCGGTCCGAAACTCCCTCACGACTAACGTTTGTGGGGAGAGAAGCCTTCGGAAAACGGGTGGTGAGCAGACTAATCGGCTATTGACTGGTAGACCACCAAAACAATAACTGCGCATGCGCGTTTTAATCCGAAATTATTCTCTTATCGATAGCTCCTCCTCAAGAGATCAGTTGTAATTTTCAAACTTATTTTCACTGGCCAAAATGGATCACATGACCCTATACTGTGGCCAGTTTGACCTCGTGAGATGTCCGATGTATATTTCACTCTTAATTCTCATAATCATCTAAATTAAGCTTGTTATCAATTCAAAAAGGATATATTGTTATTCAATTCTTCATATGTATAGATTCCACATTCTAATTGTAATTTGTACACTTTACAAAGATTTTTGCTAAAAAATGCTTCAACCTATTTACACCATTAYGAAAAACTGAAAAAAAAACTTTAAAACCTCTCCGGATCAGCATGTCTATGCAATTTGATGACAAATTAGATGACATAATAACCAGCAATTTTGATTCTTAAACATAATACAATGTAATGAGCTYTTGGTTTCTTTAAATATTGTAAAAAATTTGCTATAAACATGAATTTGAATATCATGACTACCCCTCCCCACCCCTGAAGAAAGCGTGCTGAGACCTTCACTGAGCTGGACAAACACGTATTCTGGTCGGACAACACCACGCAAGGCATGACAAACAGACGACTAGACCAAAATGCAGAATATTTRCCATCTCAAGGCTAACGGACTGAAAATATTGGTAAAAGAAAAACTAAAAAAACTAGCTATTGTAATTCCACACAAACACTCTCAGGTTGAAGCGACGGTGATAGATGTGAATTTTGTGGTTCAGTACATCTAAAYGCTAAAGTTCGGACAAGAGCCGGCTTGTCCGAATCAAGGTTTGTGGAGGTTGGCGTCAAGTCGGATTGTGATTGGTTCTCGCTGCTATCCGAAGTTTTCATCGTGTTCTCTCGGGTCATTTCCGTGCTAACTTCGGAAGCAGTGTCTGTGTCTGTCTGAGACTCCGCCTGAGGTGACTCGGACGGTGACTTGTGTTTACAGGGCTTCGAGCCGCCTTCTTCAAAGAATATTACGATAACAGATGTATTATCTGCACGAAGGCGCTGTTCTCGCCATCTTGATAAAGCAAGAGAAACAAGTCTGAAAGGAACGAAAATTTAAGTTACTACTGGATAAAATCGAAATGAAAAAATGACATTTTTATTTCTTTTTGTCAGTAACTTGGCGTTAATTACCAATAAACGTCATAAAGTCTCATCCGTTTCGTATGACTGTGCAAAACTCACGGTATAGACCTGCCTTGCCGTGACCGCGCTGTATCCAGCCGCTGTTTCCTATGGTCGGAAATTTTGTTCTATAGGATGCGCGTTTCAAAACAGTAAGTTCACATCGCAGTCAAGCAAAGTTCAGGATGACTGAACTTCACGGACGCGCGACGAAGAAGCCGCGTCTTTAGCATAGCTTTGTTTTGAGTCATGCGCTGCGAACCTTCCGAGAAAGGTTTTTCAAACTCGATTTTCGAAATGTTTGCAGTATCATATCACAGTTGTTAATCACAAACGTCCCAGGATAACTGGAATAAAAACTGTCTTGTTTTTCTTTGCACTGATTGYATTCATGTGTAAGAACAAACAATGGCCTAATTTGCCTCAGACAAAAACAGAAGCTTCCGGGAAAAAGTATTATYATTGTTGTTTCGTTGACCGCTTCCTTTGGGCTATGAACCTATAAAGGCGATGCCGACTCCCAACCAGGACCCCACAAGGCCGCCAGTTTGTGTTACGCATTCAAGCTTAGCAGGATTGGATGCGCCCCTCCCTTCCCTCCCTTAAAAAGATCTATTTACAGACCGTATTATTTAGGAATACTTTCAATAAAAAATCCTCACCTATGAGACACATCAACATCCAAAAGTTCATCTACATTTTGAATTGACTCATTTACACAACGAACTGCTTCGTCCGGACGTACGACACCCCACAATCCATCGCTAGCTACGATGACGTATTTATGGACACTAGGGTCTATTGTATAGACTTGAACGTCCGGAACTGGAGATACGACGAACTCCCCGCGAAAGTAGTCAAAACTCCACAGATCCCCTACGAAATAATGAATTAGAAACTTTAATTACGATATATTATGTTTCCATGGAAACAAACATTAGTAAATCCCTTCCACTTCGGATGTTTTCAATAAAATCAACACCCCACCCCCCACYCCCAAATTACTCTATCGTTTTTATCTTATTCTTGTTTTTACCTAAAGCTCTGGATACAGCCAAGAATGGCACCATTTCTGTTTGAGTCCTTCTTGTTATTGGTCCCTTGTGTTTCAGAACGACAGGTCGTTTCCAGGCTACTCGGTGTACGCCGTTACGAACCAACACTCTCCCACCGATGTCTTCAATTCTCTTCTTTTCGTCTGGGCTCTCTGGTTTATGGTCTGACGTTAGTGGCTCAGCTTTAGTTAATTTATTTTTTATCTTTCCCCGCACCACACCGGAGTCTCCAACGTGAGCTACGTACATCTTGCGCCCGCGGATAATTACTATAGCAGCGGTTGTCCCTGACGTGCTGGGCAAACCATGTCTTGTCTTGGGCCAGTTATCTACGAGATTGAAAATGCAAATGAGTTTTTACTAAAACTAATAGCAACGCATGATACTTATAYCTACGGTTATTACAAAATAATTTTTTTAGACTACAGAAAATTTGCCAGAAAAAATTCAATGGGAAGAATTAAATAATAAATATCCTAGGGTTGCGAGAGATATTGGTATCCCACAGCTGTTATGAGGGCGGTGCTACAAAAAATAATTACACGCTGTAACTGAATAATCTTATATACCGAAAGATGAATTTTTCTTTATCTTTATATTTTGGAGCCCTTTCGACTAGAATAACTTCTGTATTTTATCATAAAAAACAGCGTTTACGAAATTAAATTTCTAGTGGTTTTTGCTTGGAGACATGAAGTTGATACTGTTAAAACAGTTCACCTTTCCCGCGCAATGATCAGATTAAACTTATTTAAATAAAAACTGTACCATACTATTAGCAGTATCATGTGTTGATAGCTCTAAGAAAAATTAAGCTAAATAATCGCTAAATAAATAAGGAAAAAATAAATAAAAAATTTTTTCTACCACTCCGTRACCGTACTTTGAGTTGTGTCAAAACATTAGTTTAGTTCATTCGTGCATCRTTTTGAACCACATAATCTGGTATAAAGATGACATTTTGTGGAATATTATCATTTTGAGAGATATCGCGYGCCTTTCGCTTTCGTTTTGAGCAAGGAAAACCCATTTGAGTGCTGCCATCCRTGTATGATTGACAGCTGAATATTAATCAAGGTTAACAAGATCACGGGTGACTTCCGTTTCATCGCCATAAAAAACCTTGTCATAGTAAACCTTTTTTGAAAACCGTTGAAAATGTAAGGAAAGTAAAATAGAAAGTAAAACTTCGCTTTACCACGAACGATARGCGTAACTGAAATTTACATATTGCGTGGCCAAAACAGTAACGCTCGCTCGAAATTTGAATTTCAAAAGCTCGTTTACAATGTACTTTAGTGCCAGATCGACAAAGAAAGATCCAAAAATAATCTAAGAATCTAAACTAGAAAGACTCAGTCTCATTAAGGGATCGAGGAGGGGAGATTTCAAAGGCCTTCTGGCTTGATTAAAATRTTATTCTAAACCAAATTGAAAATTTTACATGGAAGCAAGTTTACRAGAACATGGCGTCACTCACAGCGCTAGCGAAAACTGCAAACAAAGGGTTATTTYTTAAATCCTAATTCTTGTTGTAGGCATCCACTTTTAAATAAGAATATCAAAGGACAGAAGGATCTTAACTACTTAAGATTCTCTTACGTACCTAACTGTTTCCACATTGCTCTGTGGGTCGCCAAAAAGCCTTCTTTGATAGCCTTCACTACGTGTGCTGGATCTTGAGAGTAAAAACCTCGTTGCTTTTTGATCGTATCCCACAACATTGCCCTAGCAAATATAGCTGCTTCACTACCTCCATGACCGTCATAAACAGCTGCATAGCACTGACCAATGTCTTTTCCAACGCGTTGTCGATCGAAGAGAACTGAAGTTAGGTCCTCCATGTACCTTCTACCGCCTTGGTGAGCTTCAGCCGAGACACGAACCATTAGTCTAGATTTAATTGTCTGTGAAGGCTTAGTTARAAGAACATGCTTCATCTTAGCTCTTTCTCTTATACTAAACGGCCAAGACATCTTATAAACTGGACCAAAGTACAGCAGAATATTTGTTGATAATCTTTTGCCTACCTTGAATGAGATTAGTATTTTTGCGCCAATTCGCATGTCAAAGTAACCAATCACAGTAAAGCTTATAAGACATACCAGCGAATCGAATTAAAATTTTGACCAATCAAATTCGTTAATAGAAAATCAGTAGCGCAATAAAGAGTTCAAGTCTAAACTTGCCCAGCTTATTGAAGTGTTGGCATTAGAAACCGTGATGACTCAAAGATTTTAATGGTTTGAACATGATCTTTCGTTTCGACTTGTCAGCTATTTTAACAGGACATGTTTGGACATTCGAGATTTTATATCACTTATTTAAGATACCCCGCTGATGGGAACGAATGAAAGGGGAAACTAAAGAAACAAATGWAAGGATTGGGAAGATATCTACGTGTCTATTCGTATTTGCTATAATAAAATATGTACCTCTAGATTGTACTACTTTAGAAAAGAAATTCGTCTTATATTTTTKATAGAAAATGGAAGCAAAATTTCCGTTTAATTGTGAAAATGCAAAAGTAAAGTGAAAACGTAAATTAGATAGAAAAAACCTAATTTCATATGTTYTTATTGAGGTAAAATTTCGAGAAAACAAAATTTTTAAGGGTTATTTTTCAGTGTTTATTGAATGGCATAAGGACCTCGAAAGAACCAATCAAAAATAAGTATATATTCCACGTACTACTCGTCCCATTCTCTTGCGGTTTGAGGTCAATCACCAAGAGATATGTCTAAAGTTGAAAACCAGTATATTTGATCACCTGCAAAAAATGTAAATAAAAAACCTTCCGCTAAATGAATATCTCTTGAAGTCTTGTCAGATGACCAGTTCTGGTCTAGATGGATTTGCCTTATGAAGGTCTTGATTCTTTCATCGTYGAGAGCTGAGACAGGCAACAGTTCTACTGCTAAGAGAATAAGGTGCTTAAAATTTCTGTATACGTGTTAAAGTTTAGCATTTGTGTTATTCTATCGTTATCTTAATTGTTTAATTGTCGTTTATGTTTACTCTTGATGTTATTGTTGCTAAATACGTGTTGAAGGATACTCCACAGGCCTTTAAAACTGTAAAGACTGTCGATATTAACCTTACAAGATTTACGATGATATTAAATCGTTATTAGTTTTGCATATGGTATTTTGATATGGGCTTATAGTTCATAACCTTTTTACAATGTCATAGAGTAAAACAATTTCATTGGAAATTTTGTTTAGACTAATACACACATTTTTAAATGCATGTAGTGTTTTTTGTTCATTCGGACAATAGACCCCTTGCAAAATCCAAGCTAAGGTTGTGTCAACATTCTTCCTAACACTAGTACTTTGGCAACTAACCCCCCCCCCCCCC